TTTCATTAATATTTATTTTCAGAAATTATTGTGTATCCAGCTGATGAAGTGAAGAATTTAATGACATCCTCAACTGACTATGAATCTTTGATACCACATCGAATTGACAGCCAATATGTACAATTAGTTGACTCAAAAACAAAAAACCAGGAACGAGATCGCAAAAAGACTGCAAAGAAGAAACAGAAAAAGTTGAAGCTGGTACAGTCATTACGACATAAAAAGAAATCCCACTCTGATCACACTGATTTAAAGCTGGAAGATGAGTTGAAGAGCCAATTTGCAACTGATAAGAAAGTACGACCTCCAGTACCGGAAAAACCAAAGAAATACATGGGAATTCATACCAAACCAGATCAAGATTTTTATGAAGATATTGATTACGGAAGACCCGCACCATCATCTGCACCACCATTGGTACCAAAGAGGGAACCCATAACACACCAGCCACCAACTTCACTGACAAAAGAATTAAACAAAATGTCTTTCTCAAAAGGTGATCTTATGAAAGAGCTTAAGAGTAATCAAGATGCAACTACTCCTTACGGTTTTCCTGTCACTAGTCCTGTGGTGTCATGTAAACCTATTAAGACGCTGGAAGACTTACCACAAAATCCCAGAACTATGAACATGTCCCAAGTCCAGGACTGTTTGAGACTTCTAAATATGGATAAATATGTGGAAATATTTGAGAAGAATTCGATAAACGGAGAGTTACTCACTGACCTGGATAAGGAGACTCTTGTGGCTGATCTAGGCATGTCCAGGCTGAATGCCCTTAAACTACAAAAGTTTATAGCAGGAAAATGGGCTCCTGAGGCTCTAAGTGGTAAAACTTAAGAACATTCCTTCTAATCTGAGGGTGGTAGGTTCAAATCCTGCCAAGTTTGAGACTATTTTTGTTACTAAAGAATGAGATAAACAATTTTGTGACTCTTTCCCTTCTTAGCTGTCATACCACAATATACTGGGTAGTTATTTCCAGTTGTGATTACAAGGTCAACAAAAGAAAAGTTGTGTTGGTCAGTTGACTACAGGCCTAATTCTAAGGTTCAGTGTCAGTTATCACTGCCAATACCGTGCCCATACCATAAAAGGAATTTGTGAGCATTCTTGGTATTAAAAAATATATAGTTACTGGTAAAGGGAAACCTATAATTTAAGCCAATCATGCTCTAAGCTTTGGTTACCACTTGCAGAAAAACTGCCGCAACGCAACGTAGAGAAATGCTCTTTTTGTATCCCCCCACCTTATGGAAAGTTCAATTTTACTTCTTCTTTGACAAAACTGATATTCCCACTTGTCGCCATGCGAAAGCAATGGTTTTTGCGGGAAGTTTTCAAAAACCATTTATCATTCATTGCAGGACTACATGTTTTGGTAAATCTAGGATTTAAATTGTGTTTATGCAGATCTGTATAATAAGTAAATATACAGTATCTCCATCACATAATAAATGATTAAATATTATACATTATAACAACCAAAATTAAAAAGCTAAAATGAGTGTCAAACATGGTGCTAGACTCAGACAGACGAATATTTAAATCAACCAGTGTAACATATACTGTAGATAATAGTTTTTGAAGAATGGTTTACAGGTGAAGACACATTGCATAATATTAAGGTTTGCTATATATATATATATGCCATGCATAGAACTAGAGCACCGTCACAGACCTGAGATGACGTTGGATGGTGGCAGAGGGGTTGAGGGCTGGTGGTGGTGGTGATACAAGGACAATGATAATAATTACTGTAACAGTAATAATAGCAACGTCATTGATAACAAGCAATACTGATAATTATTATTTAATTGGCGATGGCTAGGGCAATGTTGATGGTCAAGATGACAGATAACTTATTGTTAATATGTAAACATAAAGCACTAACTAAAAATCCCTCGGTTTGGGGCATGGGCAAATTTGCTTTTCCCTTGCGTATGCGACCTTGCATTGTGTAAATTGGAATCAATTCAACTTCATGCAAACAACGCAAAGACGATCTGCAAACAATGCAAAAGTTGACTAGCCTCAGTGTTGTGTGTGTGCAAAACCCTTGTTGCATCACTTTGCGTTGATACATCGCATCTGCGTTGTTGCATTGTGTCCTAGTGGGAACCAAGCTTTAGCATGCAACAAGTATTTTTGGCCTATATGTCTTTGCTGGTCCAGGCTTTAATTTTAATTTTAATTTTTTAGTTTTTAATTTAATATAAATAAGCATGTTGTATGATGTTCATAATGAAATATCTCAAAATGAAACCCTTACTTTAGCTTCTCAATTACATAAATAAAGCATTCAATTTGAATACTGAACCATTTACACCAAAACATTGCATTTTTCACTAAAAGAAAGTATTAAATAACTTGCCTACTGTACATGTTATTTCCTGGTAGCATTGTTACTTGGACAATGTATATTGTGGAAGGTGCCATGCTATACAAGTAGACTATACTATTATTATGTCGTATGTTTAAATATAGGCCTATTGTTTAAAATTGGGAGTTGGTATTAGGTATGCCACCAACTCAGCGCCACCAACTCAGCACCACCATCCCCGCCATGTTATAGCTAGATATGACACCATGAGTCTATGAACATATTTTGTATGCAGTTTGAACATTGATTCACACTACGAATCGAATACACTGAATGCATGGAAATAAATATGACAGTTAGCACTTGCTTAAATTGGATGACAACCAAGAGGAAGTGAATTATTCACTTTCCTTGTTAGGCCCATAAAATATTCTACAAGATTACCATTCCTGTCTGTATCATTTTGTCATAGTACCAGAAAAGCAAAAAAAATTCTATCATTTCAATAACACTTGGAATTCGCAAAACAAAAAAAGATATGCTTAGTATTTAAAAATCACCAGGTAGTGTTCACTTACTTATTTATCAAGTGGCCCCACACCAACTTCACCAACCTAACACCAACATAACCCTCTTCAGTCCTAATGTAAACATTCCTATATACGCCACTTACAGCTGTTTCACCAAAGTTAAGAATAAAAACAATATGTAGCAAAGACAAGCCGAACCAGTCACTCATCGCAAATCGTGTTTTAGAGAAAATGGTCAAAACATGCTGGAATATCAATTTTTTTTAAATCTACTTTGTTGCACTAAACTAACCTTTATACATCATGCCATGCTGTTATTTTCTCCAATTCAATGTTAAAACAACACTTTTTAAGGATTTGATGATAGTTTCTGCATGAGAAATGCCTGAAGTCATAATCTTCAAAGGCTGATTTTTCATATATTGTTCTTTAAACAGCTTAACATGCTTAAATGCTTGTAACTTTCTAAGCAAATGTTGGATTTGAATGATTTTTTTTACTATTTTATAGCTCTTATTTTACATATTACCCTGTATTAATAACTCAAAATCGATTGACTGGTTTGGCTTGTCTTTGCCACATATGAAATATAATAATATATAGAAATAGCCAATATTCCTAGCAAAGTTTCTCAACCGTGTCATCAGGGGTTCAGAATCTTTCGCTGTGCAATTCACTTGTGTTCTCTAGCTCTCTTTTTAAATACTTAAGCATATATTTGCTGTGTTTGCCTCCCTCTACCCAGGAGCATAAATGGCCCGGGTACTGGCATATGCTGGGAAGCTAAACAGACTCGCTGTGAAGAGTAGTGGTAATCTCAACAAAGCAGTCTGGTCCCAACAGTTTAGAAAGAGGGACAAACACTCCAGACCTACAGGTTTGTCTACCTTTACCTACAGAAATAGTAAATTACTGTACTTTATATAGTTACCAACGGTGGTTCCGCCCCAGGACACGCCGCCCCCCCCCCCCCTGGAACAACTGGTTTAGTCACGCATTTCAAATCTCTCAGGTTGGTAACTATGACTTTAGATCATAAATTTTGTAAAAACGTTAGTGCTATCATTTAAAAAAAATAAAACACAGTATAGGCCTATTATCGATTATAAGCCTTATGCCAAATTTCACCTTTGATGCTTGAAATATTTGCTGAACTGCTTCTGAGATTTCTGGTCCAATTCCATCGCCAGGAATCATGGTTACTGTCCGAACCTTCAATAAAAAAAGAGTTGAAAAAGTAATATAATATTACCTGTGTAATAAAATGTATTTCAAATTGCATTCATTATACAATAAAATTATTATATTGTAAATTTCATAAATAACTAACATCCCTTGATCATTACAATGTGACCGGCTCTGGCAAAACCTGCTGTTTGTCGCAATTTACAATTTCCCACAAACATATAAAATGTTCGAGTATCAGAATTTTGAACATTTTCAGGTTTTTTGCAATTTTTAAAAGAAGGTATATAACACTGTTTTAAAGAATAATTCATGCAAAATGTAAAAACACCAAAAACGTAAATTTCAATTTTTCCTATAAACAGCTGGTTTTTGCCAGTGCCGGTCGCATATTGCCTAAATACTCTGCATGGAAAAAATTTTTTTTTAAATATACAGACGCTTGGCAATAGATGACACATTGTCTACTGATCCTGTCACAACAAACATTAGCTTAGTACTGGATGACAATTTGTACTAGCAGTGGGGTCATTCCGGCTCAAATCAACCACCAAGCTTATGAGACCCCCCTTTGGAAATTCTAAAAATACCTTGATATGTAAAAAGAAAGAATCAAAAATTTCAGCTCCAAATTCCAAACGGTTTTTAAGTTATAGTCTTTTGAAATGTAGGTACCACGCCCCCTTTTTCATGCCGGTAATGGCTCCTTTAACTTTGTATGGTTTTTATGAAGCTATATCTCATGGAATAATGAAGATAAAAAGTTGAAAATTGCTACATAAACTGATATTTGGCCCCTCTTTCAAATTCGGGTAGCATATTTCATTAGAATGTTATATGCCCCAAAAAATTGTGCAAAAATAGATACTGGATACAATTGCAGTGGCTTCTTAAACAAAAAAAAACAAGATTTTTGCATTGCATGAAATTGTGTGATGATTCTATTACAACAGACATTTCTCAGACGCAGTAATGCCTTTATGCTTATAGTGCCCATTAATACCGTATTTGTCTTTACAAAAAAGGGTCAGGTACTGCTCCTCAAGAGCTGAAACAAGAGTATGCCTGAGATTTTCCTAAAAAGGCATTTTTAAGGAATGAAAAAAAATCAATTCAATATTTACGTTTTTTATTTTGCTTCAGGAAAAATAAAAAACCACTGTTGATGTAAGTGTACAAATAAAATTTGGTGCTGGAGGCATTCTATAAAGGTAATTTGCTTGGTCGGAGGCACAAAATTTCTTCCCCCAACAACAGACACTGGTACTGTTGTTGGGGGAAGTTGTTGAGTACTGAATGACAGAAAGACAGGGGCTCGACTCGACCTAAAATTTATGATAAATAATATGCTAAACTGCAGTACTTACCTCATTAGAATATGATCGAACTTTACACCACTGTTTAAAAGCAGGAATCTTAAATAACAATGAATCATAAACACTTTATAAGCACAGCATGCAAACTGTACAAAGTTTCTTTCAGGAATTGTGATAAAATGTGACATTTAAATTGATTTATTGATACAGACTTACTATTACTGCTTCCACATAATGTATTTTTTGGGAGATAGAGCAATTACTGTAGGTCTACGATGTTTTAAGAAATCGGAAAATTTGCAAGCTAGTAGGACGTGTGTGTGGAACATGGTCAGCAGCTGCCAAAGGGTTATCGAAAATATAAGAATAAAATTGCATTTTTTAAGGATTTACCACTACTATAAAATGACATTACTATTTAGCCTACAGTAGCCTAACCTACTTACTCTTTGTCTTTTGTTTGATAGTAAATTTATTAACAGATTCATTGGGCCTAGTAAGCCTAGTAGTAGTAGGCAGACTTGAAAAGCGAACAAACTACCCATAAACATTTGTTTGCAAATTGGAGTAATTGTGCAAAAGCTAATTCTGGTCACTTCGGCCCAAAACAAACTCGGACCAAAACCAACTCGGCCCAGACCAACTCGGACCAAAACCAACTCAGCCCAGGCAACAAATCTAGCCCTAAATAAATGAATAGTTCTATCCGATGGCAGAATTCAATTAAATTGAAAACTTACACAATTGCAATATAAATCTGTTATATCCATCATAACATATATTACTTTTCTTTTATAATTTCCGAAATATTTATTAGTTTAACATTCTCAAAAAAATATTAATCATCCATACAAAACTTAATAGTTTCATCCCTTTTTAGCGCACTGGCACAATGACTACACCTACTGTATATACGATATTGATTTATTCAAGACAGCAGGTTAAAATAATTGGGTGGTCCCTGTGTGAAATGAATAGTTGATTTTTATTGTCAGTTTTTGCAAGGTGCTATGTTCACCGAAAAACATATTGGGTGTTGCCAATCTGAAATAAACAGTTTACCAAAAAAGATTTACCAGAAATAACAGTAGTGCACCTGTTTAATTCTAAAGTGCTAGGGAGCCAGCCTAAAATAACAGTAGGCCTACTGTTTACTTTAAAACTTTTCCGTCATGAATTCCAAAAAAAAAAAAAAAAAATCTGTGTATGCAGCCAGTTTGAATTAAATGTACCTGAATAAGTCCATATTATTCGTGTATTTTGTTTTTTCGCTTTATATTCATACAAATATACATTATTTTATAAAGTTATGTAAAAGATTCTAAAAAATAAATGGGACTAGTAATAATTTGGATAAAACAAATATAAATAATATTAGGCCTCTATATTATATTAATAATTATAATAATACTAAAATAATAATAATAAACAGAATAATATGATAATTATTTAAAATATAATTCAAATAATATAAAAATAAATAAAAAGTTATACTAAAAAAATAATATTAGACCTATAAATAATAATAATACAGGTAATAATAATAATAATAATAAATAATAATAATAATAATAATAAAATATATAATAATAATAATCATCATCATTATTTTATTGTCATATTCAACATTCAATTTCAATTCAATTGAATTGTCATTTGGATAATTTGGAAATCGCGATCACTATTCATTTGGGTAATTCCATATCATTTGGGTAGTCGTCATCTGGGACCAAGCTGGTTTTGGTCCGAGTTGTCGTCTGGGCCAAGTTGGTTTTGGGCCGACATGTCATCTGGTCCGAGTTGGTTTTGGTCCCAGTTGGTTGGGGTCGAGTTGGTTTGGGCCGAGTTGGTTTTTGGCAGAAGTGACCTGATACCTGCCAAAGCAGCTAAAAAAACTGAGGACGACAGCGCCCTCCCCCCACCCACCTCCCTTAGAGGCCTAGCCTTTCTTGTTGACCCTCCTCTCTCACTCACTCAGAATTCTCTTCCTGGTCAGACATACATAGACCTAGGCGTAAGTTAAGTAAAAGTAAATATTACTTTAGACTTAGGCCCTAAGTTTATTTGTCTATCGCCCTTCATCCGTCCAAGAACAACTAGGCTTAGGCTAGCTGAGCCAACCTAGGGCAGGCCTATTTATGTGCCGCCGGAAGCACTGAAAGGGGCCAAGCAACCGCCGGTCTCCTACCTAGCGACCGGCAAAAGGCACCTGAGCTTTTCGCCTAGGTAGGCCTAGGTCCTAAACTGAGAAGTGACATTGATTTAGGCCAATGATTACTGACTGATTTTGATTATGACTATATCACTGATAGGTAAATTTTCCGTATGTTTAATAGTTCATAGTTAATAAAAAGTATTTAATTATCAGACTTACAATCTTTTTTCTCCACATGCGAGCTGCCATTTTGATTTGGGTACTTGAATTCAGTTTGCCAGGTTTTTCCTGAATATTTACCCAATTAAACTGATAAACTTCGAGCAGAGCTTAGTAACATTGGAAGTTTACCCTTTAAAAGTTGTTAATAATGCACTTAAGAAATTAAATGAACCTAAATGTATACATAGGCCTACTGATGATAGCTTGATTAAGATTTGAGTTAGATTGCCTTATCTAGGAAAACCAAGTGAATTCATCTTACGTAGATGTTTAAATAAGGTAAAGAAACACTTAATTAAAGAGGTAAAATTCATAACTTTATGGCAGTATAAAAATGTTTCCCATTTTATATCTACTAAAGATGAAACCCCTAAGGAGTACAGAAGTTCTGTTGTCTATCATTTTAAATGTCCAGGCTGTAATAGTGATTATGGTAAGACATAGTGCTTAATAACTAGACTTACAGAACATTCTTCACGATCTGATAGTGTTATATTTGATCATGTTAAATTTGAAACTGTGAGGCATTCCAATATGTTTTAGGATTACAGGGTATACGATAATGTCGTCTGTAATGTAAGTAATAAATTAGGTTTAATATTTTCTAGTACAGTACTAACATTATTGACAGCTCCCGAAACTGGTCTATCCTATTGTTTAAAGAAGCGTTTGCTATACACCCTTTGCTTAACAATGGGCTCAGGGCTTTAAAGGAGCTTTCTTTGTTTTTGTAGGTAGCTTTGATCAGTAGAATAAGTATGCTTTGACCTTTTGTTTAAATCACTGCTATGTCACCTGCTAGAGGTTTTTTTTTGATTAGTTAAACACTTTTGGTACTAGTGCATATAAGCATGGACCTATAATAGTTCCATGGTCACACAGTGTAGTGTAGCGTGCAGTGCGATGTTTTTTGGTAGACGGCATAATTATATACAAGCCACGCCCCACTCGGCTGAACCCGTTGTATTTAGCAACTACGTACCCGGCCGGTAGCCTGTTTTCCACTAAATTTATTCGCGCGAATGGAAAGCGGCGGCTCATGCACATGCGCATTCACATTTCTATCCGAGTTTTGCTAGCGAAAAAATGCACAACCAATCAGAACTCAGAAAGTGAACCGACGCTTTGATTCGCGCGAATAAATTCGCCTAGTGGAAAACCAGTAGAGCAGCGCGGATAGTGCGACTAGACCTTTGCTATAGCAGCAGTAGACATCAGATCGTATCTGATGTCTACTGCTATAGCAGCAGTAGACATTAGATACGATCTTGCTATTAATTTTTTTACAAAAAAAAAACCGGGTAAGTTTAACGAAGTTATAAGAAAGCCTTTTTGTATGTGTTGGGGACGTTTTCCTCTTTTCGATTTCTTTGAACAGTTGATTGAATTATATAAACGCAATTAAACCAGCTGCAGCTAGGTTAAACTCAAAACTACCGTAATATGCATGAACAATTTTTGCTTTCAGTCCCTGGATCGAAAATGCACTTTCTATACTACAAGTTCGGCACATACGGTACCGGTATAGCGCGCAATGGTTATGAGTCTCGATGCACTTCGTTATTAATATTGCCGTCAGCATTAGTTCGAATCTCACTAAGTCGCCGTAGTTGTGAAATTGGTTTTCATTGCTTTTTTTTAACTTCATAATTTGTTTAATACTGTATTCGGTTTCCGTGTTTTTTTTTTTACTTCATACATTTTTTTTTTGGCAATTTCAACTTCATTTCTCATTACAGTATATACAATGAGGAAAAGCCCTATGTTCTGTTGTGTACAAACAGACATAGTAAATCTAGTCATTATTGTTATTATTATCATCATTATAATCTTTTTTACTGGACTTAATAATATTTTTCACGTCCGATCACCGGTCCGATCCACCTACCTGGATATATGACGCCATTTAAGAACGTATTTAGGTACTATTATCAAAGATAATAAATAGCGGAAGATAGAGCAGCTTCCCAATATAGTGGAACATCCGTTCAAAGGGCATTGTGGGTACACGGAGAGCAATTTTACTACAACCACGCGGCGGCGCTATATAAAAAATAATGAAGGCGCTACTATTGTTCGCTTGTTTCCTTTAGTTTCTCCACTTACTAAAATGTACAAATTTTACTGCAACCGCAGGAGGGCGAATGTTCCATCGATTTTAATGCAAATACTCGGAGCAGCTCATTCTTCTGCTATTTAAGTTCTTTGCTATTATCATCATCATCATCATCATCCCGGCGAGTTGAGGACGAGCGGTCCGAGGTATTAGACTTTATTTAAAATTAGAACGATAAAATAATTCCTTGCCAATAATGGACTCTAAAATATTATTATTCCTATAATAGTTGTTGCATATAATATTTTGTTGATTTTCGTGAAAAACATCTGCGTAACTCACATTTAAGAGACGTCCTTTCTCTGGTGCTGCGCTAAGTCGTTGCTTTTACATTTTAGGTATCTACCTATCGTATATACAATTCAACTGTGGTTTTAAGTTGGAATGGGAATAAAGAATTACCGGTAGTCGTTTCTCTCATAAAAGTAAAGCAATTTTGATACCGTACTGTATCAGTTTATGGTGTGTAATAATACCAAAAAACAATCTGGTCCTGAGAAAACGATTCACGTTTGGTACAACGTTCTTAATTTTACGGACGATGGTCAATTCAACAAAATGCCCAGTTAAGTTAAGTTTATCGTCTGTAGGCAATACTCATACACTGTAATACCTGTCTCTTATACACATCTATCTTTTTTCTCCACATGCGAGCTGCCATTTTGATTTGGGTACTTGAATTCAGTTTGCCAGGTTTTTCCTGAATATTTACCCAATTAAACTGATAAACTTCGAGCAGAGCTTAGTAACATTGGAAGTTTACCCTTTAAAAGTTGTTAATAATGCACTTAAGAAATTAAATGAACCTAAATGTATACATAGGCCTACTGATGATAGCTTGATTAAGATTTGAGTTAGATTGCCTTATCTAGGAAAACCAAGTGAATTCATCTTACGTAGATGTTTAAATAAGGTAAAGAAACACTTAATTAAAGAGGTAAAATTCATAACTTTATGGCAG